TTGTTTTGTTTTGCTTTGCTTTGCTTGCACGCGCGGCTTTTGCTCTACCTGTTAAACCGTCTTTATCTCAACCCACGAGTTTTCTCACTTTTACCAATTCTCTCCCCCATCTCAGCGGGGGGGGGAGCGAGCGAGCAGCTGCGTGGGGCTTAGTTGCCAGCTGGGGTTAAACCACAACAATCTACTCTACAACTGATTCCTTCAAACTTTTCTTCATCAAGCAAAATAATTCTGATCTGCTGCAGTTAGTTTTCATTATCTCCTGACTCTGAAAATGATGCATTGTCAAAGATTTAGTTAAGGTTAGTGAAAGACTGGTAATTCCTCTTACTTATATTTTAAAGAGTAATTCTACCTAAATCGAATTAGGAAGACCTCTAAAGTAAATCCTAAATAAACCATCGTAAAAGCAAAAATTTAAAAAAAAAAAAGCTTTATACACACCTCACTTCACTAAACTAGTGCAAGTTTACACATAGACAAGACCTCAGCAATTTAAGAACACTTGGAAATTAGTTTGGCTAATCAAAATTAAGACACAAGCTTGCCATAGACAGCTTAGAAAATACAGCTTGCTAGAAACAAGCTGGACCAGCCAGAACTGATAGGTGTACTGGGGACAGAAGGACATAAATGAAGACAGCTACAGAGACTTAATTAGAGAGAGTTTGTGGTTTTTTTTTAAATAACCACATCACTGTTTAAGTACTCAGCATTGAAAGCTGATGGCAATCTGTACAGGAGATAAAAAAAAAAGGCAGTTTATAATGTTATCTCCCCCACAATCTCCATTTCTACACAAATAGTTGCAATTCAATATTAATAAGGTATCAAGTTGAGTTTTCTGAACTCAGAATTAGGTAAGTCTTTTCATTAGAGAAAAGTTTCTAGTAACATTAAACTTTTTCATTAGGTTATTCGAGGGAGTGCATTGAGAGATGAAGCAGCATAAGACATAGCATTTCTGTTGTGGGAAGTCGGAGTTCAGCACGGCTCCTCATTAGCCATAGAGCACAGCACCCACCTTCTGGACCTGACAGATTCTCAGACTGGGAAATCCTTACTCCTAACTGGTACAGTTGGCCTGGGCTGCAGGTGCTCCTTCACAGGCAGCGAGTACTGTTCAGGCTGCGGGGGCTTTCAGAACCAAATACCTCCCCACACACCTACACAGAATACCAAGTGAGAAGAGAGATTGTATACCTGCAAACCTCACCCCTCCTCCTCCTCTTGTCCACAGCCCTATCACAGTTCTTCCCATGATGAAGGTGTATGTACAAATTAATCCCTCATTTTTCAGTTAAATCCTTCAAATTTTTAAATTAAACAAGTTCCAAGACATTTAGTAACAAAATTGAAAGAACTATTCAAACTCGTATTTTTGCCCTTTACATACAGGTATTTCTTGAGCATGTTGCATCAAAAATAAAGATTCACAACATTCTCATGTCTGCATAGTGTTGAGAAGAATTTTAATTTTCTGAGTTTTTGGTATCACAGAGAACTTGTGTTTGATACAAGCTACGTTATTACACAGGAAAAAAAATCATCATTTACAGTGTTATAATACAGCAAATTGGGATGTTTGCAATTTGTAAATGAGACATTTAGTATAACTAATACAAGCTCATTCCTGGAGAAAAAAAAAACCACTATTAGTGTAGTCTTCAAAATAATTAACACGGGATTTAGAGAGAACAATTTTGAATTCATTTTTATAATAAAAAACTTAAGTCTTTTTTTTTTTTTTAAGACCTTAGCTACCTGTTAAGAAGATACTATTTTGATGCTCATCAAAATTTAACTATTTCTAAGTTAAATTGATTATTCAGGTGTCCTCAGACACTCATCTATCGAGTTTTATGCATACAAAACCATTAGTACCAACAAAGGCTGGGTTATTAAGCCTGGCTATATAGCATCGTTCTGCACTTGAAGCAAGCAGAATTTGTACAAATTGCAGACTTCAGCACCTGACAATGCTTTAATAATCCTATTGTAGTTTCCATTTTTACCAAAAATGGATTAAAACCTCTTGGAAGTCTTCACTTATATGTTCTGTAAGATTCAGCCATATTCTCAGTAACACTGTTACTGAAGTTAGAAGTGCTTAAAAAGACTTTATTCTCTAGCAGCTGCATTAACAAAACTCTATTCCCCATTATTTTAGTCTACATTTAAACATGCTAGGAGTTACCTTGCCTCACCGGGAGTAAAAAGAAAGTAGCCACTATTCAACTGCAGGTGTTAAAATAGCCTAGAATCCAATTTGTCTCTAGAATCCTAGAGACAAATTAAGGCGCAACACACCCCTATAAAGTGCAGAAATTAAAGATTCAGTGAATTTCCGTACTGTGTCTGAACAATGAATTAGAAAAGTTTTTGCATGATCTATTTTTACTATGACACGATACCTTCAAACAGGTTCAGACATTTAAATCACACTGAAGTTATTGCCATTTCAGAAACAAGTATAAGGCAACTGACGTATTTTAGTAGTTGCCCACAAATTCAGGAAGGAATTGTTGCATGACAAGCCTACCTTTTTGTCAAAGGACTATTTCAATTTTTCAGCCAAGTTATTATTTTAAGACTCTCTATTGCCTGGCAAGACAGGCCAGGTTCTATCCTCTCAATAACCCTGTTAACAGTGAAGATGGTGGGAAAGTATGAATACCTGGTGACCTGGGCAGGGGGGACAAGAAGACACTACATCAGCTAGAACTCTAGAATACTCACTATACAGTAAGCTACAAAAACATTTCAAGGACATCTCTTGGTAGTCTATGTTACATATAGGAAAGTTTATCATTAGAATGACTTACACAAAATAAGCCTTATTTCATCGAGATCAATTTTAAAAATACTTACTGCTTTTTAATTTGTAGAACAGCACACCTATGGCTTCTAAAGTGATCAGAACATTGACTAACCATCCTTTAGTTTAGAAGACTAAGACATTCTTCAGCCAAATGCTATCCAGAGAAAATTATTTTACTTAGTGGTCCCTCATAACTTGGCTCTTTGAGATTGCAGACTTGCATTAAGGATGGTTGTAATCCATGAACATGGATCAGTTAATCTAAACAGGAACAGAAATGTCTTGAAATCATTTAAGCATGCATGAGTAAGTAAAGAGGGGAATAAGAGAGGGTAATAAAGTTAAGCAGGAGTCATCAATATCTAAGATTAAGACAAATTAAGTCATTCAAGTGTTTCCTCCCCTTTTCTGTACAATGTTTGACAATGAAATCAAACTCACCCATTTTGCTGCCTTCATCATTTTGCCCCTGCAGGCTAAAAATGCATTCCCAGTAAGAGTTCTTTAAATAAAAAGCAAATCCTTTAAATGAAAATTTAAATTTATTTTGAAAATTTTAAATGTAATTTCTATCAATTTAGACAACACTGACATTATCAGATCAGAGAATTTACAGTGACTCATGGATAAAGAATTGGCTTTTACATCCAAATGTTAAGTACTTCAGAATAGCTTTGTCTTGTTATTTCCAAACCAGAAACACTAAAGAGCATTTTATTTTGCCTTTCAACCATCTTTGTTAATTAACAGACTTTTGATATCTGCTGTACTTGAAGGGGAACATGCACAACACCAAAGGAATTACTTTGTTTGAATGGAGTACCTTAATTACAGTTCCAGATTTAAGTCTAGTTCATTATAGCATCAAAAGGCAGTGCTAAGTAGAAAGACAAGATTTTTTAAAAAATGTATTTTCCTCAGGTAGACTGCAGAGCCTGACCTACTTGGAAAGCCTCTTTATGAAGATAAAAAGGTCTTGCTATGCAATGTTAACACCATACAGTCTTAAAGTTTAGCAAGTTTTGTCCAGTTTTCATAATTATTTTGGAAACTGTATTAAAAAATTCCATCGCTCTCCTAACACTATCCTTGCATTAGTGGTTAATAACAAAATTCCATTAATCTATCAGACTTTAAAATTGTGTCGTTTTTATTGCTTACTATAGTTTATTTTCCTACTCTCTAGCACTAACTTGAAACCGGATAAACAGAAAACATTTGCAGGGAAGAGATTTGATCAGTTTGCCCATTCTGGCAAGGAAAGAGCCCCTCAAGTGCGTACAACACAATTAACTGTTCCAAAGTGAGTATCAGACCGCCACTCTCCACATGGGACAGCCTCCCACCATGCATCTTAAAAGTTCAGAACCCCTCCAATTTGTAAAAGCAATGCAAGCTCCAAAGCCCTGAAAAAAAGCTTATCAATTTTAGAGTACAACTGTTATGATATGCTGACAAGGGGAATCTCATAGTAAGGTACTCAAACAGTTAAGATTCCTTTGTATACACCTTAGTATAACAGGCTGCTGCTGCCTTCAGTCAGCAAGTAGCACATCACGGAAGATCTGGGACCACAGCAACAACTTTGTGCTAGGGTCAAGCATTTGTAATATTAACAAATTCGGGGGGGAGGGGGAGAGCAGAGATTTTGTTTTGCAAGAGGAAAATACTTCTCAAGTTTCACGTAATACATTTTCTCCTCCACTATGATTTTCACTGTCTGATGGAACATCATTAATAATGTGCCAGGAATGCTCTATCGCCTGATTCCAGGAGTCTGCTGCATTTCAAGAATCGCAGGCACATGGCCTGCTCAGGAACATACAGCAGAAAAAGTGTGAAAGGTCTGTTATATTAGTTTTAGAAGCCATATAAGAAACATGTATGCAATTTTAGTCTTCCCTGTTGGTAAAGTCTGTTAAGCTAATTAATCCACAGGTATGATGATATGTATCTCAACACCCAATGAAACAAGTGTATTCGTAAGCCTTTAAATTATATAGAAAACTCAGTTCTGTCCTCTGATGCTGTTTTCAAGTTTGTTTTATTCACTCTTTTGGATGACTATAAATAAGTGTTTCCACTATGGAAAAGAAAGTTAGCACAGTACATTTTCATGACTGGGGAATGGATTTTCTGAAGACATCTTCAAAAGGGCAAAAGCTTAGAAAAAACAACCTGAACGTTGAATTCAGTTCCTTATAAAGTCCCTTGTAAAAATTAAAAAAAGAAAAAAAAAAACAAAACAAAAAAAAAGAAGAAGGAAGAAAGAAAAATGTAAAGGAAAAACTGCAAGGCCCAGGATGATTTATTGCTTTTCTTCAGTTTTTTCCTTGGTCTCTTTCTTCTCAGATTCTTTGCTGTCTTCCTTTACAGAAAGCTCTTCTAGTTTTTCAGCAACTTTATCAGCACTATCATTTTTGTCTGTGCCTGCTAAGAGATTGATTAGGAAAAAAGTTACATACAGGCAGTAACGGATTTTTGAAAGAGTAGAGATGTGGAGGGTGAGGGGTGTGGGGAGAGACAGCTGGTATTTAGAATAAGAACAAAAGTAAAGAAATTCTCCACCGAGCACTGGAGTGATTAGTCCCATTTATCTTCCATTAGTAATTACCTCAGATGTCAGAATTCAAGAAGTACCACTTACATATTTTAATCACTTAATGAGGGCCTAATCATAGTAACTGAGAAACATGTAACATTTGGTCAGCTTTGCTGCTACCAGTAACAGACTCCATACAGTGTCCAGTCAAGTAAATGTCTCAAGTCCCTAGCTTCTTGCCTATCCTAACCACAAAAACAAAAGTTTGAAACTGGGGAACAGAAAGTTCTTAAGACTGAAAAATTCCGATCTAAATATCTTGAAGAGCATTGACTGCAGACCACTAGTAATCTGTACTTTAGAAAGATGGAAGTGTTTATTTTACATGGTGAGATATCTTGTCACATAAGCAATTCTACAAGGCGGTGCATTAATCTATTAAATAAAGAGAGACCTGTGAAGAAATGCTACAACTTCATACACATTAACAACTATAAAAATTAAGTATTCTACTTGCATGATTATATATTTCTGGAATTTGGAAAGGGGAACTGGAAGGAGGAAATATCACTGTGGTTGCAGTTCATTTGTGTACAATAAACCAGAAATGCTTCCTTAGTAGCCTTTCCAAAAAAGGAATGTCCCAACAGAACTGTAATAGCCTTCTACAAGAAAGAAGGCAATTGTCACTCCTGTGAACTATTACTCTCGCAGACAGAAAAAGCACCTGAACTGAAGACTGCAGTTCAGTACAGAGTGAGTCTGCTAAAACACAATGATACTCCAGAGGGCTATAACCACTCAAAGAGCTAGAAAAAGTGGCACGGTACTACACTTAGACTTTTAACCTTACCTTTCTTTGCCCTCTTGTCTACTTCATTCCTGCATTCTTCAAATTTTGCCTTGAATTTCTGTGCATCTGTTTCAGTAAAGATAGAATTTTTTTTTCATTAGTTTTACCTCCTTGAAACATTGAATACTTCCAATCTTGAGGAAAGATATCCGAGAAGTTTTGTGTAAACAAAACTTGTAGGCACTTATGAAGTAACCTAGTTTAAAATCATACAAGGTGCCATGCAAAATTCTTGAATCACATCTTTGTGCAGATGCAGTTTATTTTCTTTAGCAAGTCTATTAAAGCAGCTTATTTTGCAAAATATTTAAAACAAAGCCAGAAGGAGCTGTTTTGTAGTTATTGCAACTCCCAGCTGTCCCTAGCCTACAGGAATAAGAATATGATGTCAGAGACTGCTAATACGGCTATCTGTGTGCAAAAGACTGAAGATTAGCTTTGAACTACTATCCTTGTCAGCTACATTAGACCCTAAAAGACTTCCACATCCTTACCATAATTTAGAGATCTTTGCATCAAGAATGGAAGATAAAACCTGTTTCATTAGTATACAGCATTCAGATTCAATACCCAAAGGCTTGGACTCAAGCTACAATAGCTAAGGAAGCATAACCATTATGTTTTGGTCTAAGCCATCACTTGATTTAACAGTCACTCCAAGCAGTTGATCAAGTTACAGTAATGTTTCTACACAAGTACTACAAGCAACAAGACACAAAAGCGGATCAGGCAAGGTACTTTCTAACATCAGAACTATAAAGAAAGTAATTTGGTATGCCAACTTGGTCTTACAGACCACATGAGGTCACTGTTGCCCCGCAGGAATTCAGAAGCCACTATGAAACTAGTCCAGGAAGTATTTGTGTTGATTCCTTTTCAAGCATCTCAAAAAGGAAAGATACTTGAAGGGCATACTTATGTTTATTCACCTGTCATCTGCTTAGTCAGTACTGCAAAGGGTAAACAGGCAAAGAGGACTACTCCCTCAAGACAAAACACTCAATAAGCTGAACAACCTCTACCAGAAAGAGGGAAAGACTTTTCAAAGATGAGCAAATAGTTACCAAAACCCTTTAATTTCATATTTGATTAAGAAAGAAGCAAGCACTAAGCAGGTGGATCAGAAACATTTATTTGGCTAAGCATGTTGGAGACTTGAGGAAAAGGAAGCAAGCAAGATATACTAAGTTCTTCCTAGACGTAGGCAAATCCATCTAGTTTTAAAATACACCGCCACTTTATTAGCCATCTAGCATGTAGGGGGAAGAAGCGGCTAACACACTAAACTTGTGTGGCAAATTGTAAAGCAGGAAATGCAACATTTTTCCTCTTTCATTTTGCTGCTTTTTTCAAGAAAAAAACCCACTACTTTGATTCAATCCTAAGGAGTTGGGAAAGCTACACTATCATTCAGCCTTACTAGCTGATCCATATGTAATTACAGACCTACTTTTTGTTCCAGTAATCAATGCAGTCACTCCAGAAAAACCCACCAACTAGTATGATAGTTGGGTTTGACTAGCACTTTTCACTGAGTGTTCCATTTAATCATAACAAAGATGATACTACATACTTCATTAATAGGCAAAGAAAAAAAAAAATATTCAGATGTTCTGCTAATGCAGATGGACCAGAAATCTCAGGTCAGCATTTCCTTGCTTCTAATGCAAAAATGTAATCTTAACTACGGTTGAGCACGTGAGATAAATGAAAGCAAGCTGCATGTATTAATCTCTACCCCACAGTATTACTGCTTTTAGTTTTATTCTAATTGGCATTACACTTGCATGAAATGGCTTAAGTTAAAAAAAGTGCCTAGGGCAGAAAGCTCTATAAATATTACTGGAAACCTAATTATTACACTGTTTGTCAACACATATGGTTAAGTGATTAAGTGACTTGTCTCAGTTAAAGCAGTAATTAGCTAACGCTATCATGCAGTGGTAAGATACAGCGTATCTGCAACAATGGTTTACAGTAGTGTTTAGACATGTCTATAGTATAACAGTATACAGTCAATGTAAGTTCAGTGCCAGTCCACTCACTCTCTGCATTTAAAAATCGGATTGCCAGAAGTTCAGGCTTGGGGCTTTCATCTGCAAAGTCAGCATGTGTGTTCCAGACCCATGCCCTGTCGCTCCCAGCATTAGGCTTCAGCTCCATTAAGGGTGTGACTGAAAAGAAAGCATTAGAAGATGTACACAGCACAACAGTAAATGTTTTCCACACCAGCCTCCATAAATCTTATTGACAACTGGCTGCAATGGTTATGTAAAGCACTTTCCACAGGATTACTTTTGGATAAATACAAGATAATGGTGCCCATACGTATTTTTCTTTACATCCTCAAATAACATGATGCAAGACCATTACTGTATAAAAGAATGCTAGATTCCCTATTGTTAAGAAACTGAGAGTTTGATTCAATTCTCATTTAAAACAGATGACTAATACTGAGAGAGATGCAGTCAATAAGCATACCTCTGAAGAACAGTCAAATGGTTTAAGAGGAAAAGGCATCCAGACAGACAAACAGCATTCATTCTTCCTTTGCACACCAAAAATACTACATAGTACAAAAAATTATTATAAAAAAGCATTATTCCTACAATTAGTCATCAAATCAGGTTCATTTCTTTCCCATCAGTTTAAAGCTCTACTACAAGGTTATTATAGAATTCTGCAGTGCTCAAGATGTGCACAGCATATTTTCAATCTATCTGATCCTTCCCAGTACATAGAGCCCTTTCCCTCCAAGACGCTATAATTACTTCACCTGACTGACTGGAGAAGTTGGAATGTTACTTCTCACACTACTCTAAGACTTTTTGCACTACACACATGCAAAGTTTAAGCAGGGCTTTTTTTCTCCCTGACCCCTGGGTCCTTTGTTTAGTTTGGGAGAAATCTGAAGAGTCTACTCACTTTTTTGCATTTTTTTAAATTTAGAGATCAAATTACATTTTGTTTCATTTAATGTTTTGCAAAAATGGAGTCCTTTTGTCTGCCTGTGAGTCAGCATAAATTCAATAAAGAAATCTATACTGAAAGCAGTTTTTCCAGGAAAAAAAACTTTTGACATGAACACTATATATTTATAAATTCTGTTTTGCATATGTGCAACATTTATTTTCCTGAACAAAAGGCTTATTCTTATTGGTTGCTTTCATATTTGCCATTTCATTTACTAAACAGGAACACCTGTGTCCTCTGAATAGTCTAACTTTCTGAAGAGATCTACCCAAAGAAAAGAAGCGTTATTGCTTCTGACTTCAGATTTGTATTAAGCTACTTCAAACAAGTTATTTCTAGTTATCTAAATGTAGTTTAACTCCACAGAATACTATATACTCTTCATATAACACCCTGAGTATTACCAAAGCAAGCAAGTAACAAAGTATTACCAAATTAGTCTACTTGTTGCTAGTTATATTGACTTTCAAGTCTGTCTTGCCCTTTCATGTTTATTTTTATTCAAAGAGGATCAGAGGAACAAACCTCTCCTGCTCCATCAGCTCTCAACACACATTCTTTTTGAATGAGTGAGCTGAATATACCACATTCATTTCAGTTTATTTCACAAGCAGAGAAAGGCAGCCTCAGATTAGTTTAGCACCTCAGTATCTGTTTTCTGATGGTTAAGCAACTGCTTCCACCAATTCAAACATTTACCTCAAAGTAGTAAGTTATTACATGACTGCTTATTTCTCATTCTTTTATGAAAACAAGCCAGCTTACGTTAATTTCTTATCCTAAACAGTATTAAGGCCTACATTTTCTACACTCTATTAATCATTAAAAAACCACACAGACACACATTGGGAGCAATCACATAATGTCTGTCTATCCCAGCTAAATTTCAGAAGTTCTTTAGAACACTGTCAGTCTGAAGAATAGAACAACTTTAAGACTCAGCCTTGCAGGCAATCACCAAAACCAGCTACAGCTTCTTTCCATTAATAAAAATAAGCACTCATTGGTTTTGATGCTTGTAGCCTTGTGTGCAGAGCAAGAGACAACTATATTTACAGTTTAATATAAATTTGATGCCTGTTTAAAGACATAGAGCAATTCTCTAGCTGCCACTAAAAAGCCACCGAGCTCTTAATCTACAATGTACAATTCTACAAGCTTATTTTTTAAAACAAAAATAGGAAGTATAGCAATGTATAACATACTATAATGGTTTGCACAGATTTTTAGGGTTTTATCCCTCCTCATGAGGAGGCGAATTGTTCCCTTCTCCTTGTGTTTCAGGAGTTTTACATCACCAGTTCCTCGTTCTTTCCATTCTGGAAGATCATTCTCAGATGCAAATCGGAATAACTTTGCTCGCCTTGAAGAAGAGAGAATTTAAGAAGTTAGCCTGCACGTAGAAACATTTATCAAAACAGCATACTCGACTGAACGGTACAGTTGTTTTATCAAAGCCACACACAAGAAAGAAAACAATTCCTTCTGTAAGGTTCCCTGTTCTACTCCAGGATACAAATTCAGAAACAGATACGATAAATTCAAATTTAATAACAAACTATTAGGAATTATGTAATAGCTGTACTAAAATTCAACAGGTTCTGGATACACTTTTGGGGGATGATAAACATATTTGGTGTAGGCAACCTTTTAAATTACGTAGCTAATTAACAGGTTTTGCTACATCTTAGATGTATTATGAATACAACTGCTCCATCTAACCGTCAGTATTTATTAATTCAAGAAATTGAGCAGCTTGAGGCTAAGTAAAGACTCTTGTATAATTCCAAGCCCAATGTTTGATCAACTGTTAACAAAGTGCCTCACCCTCTAGAGTCACTCACTTCCTTTTAACTCCAAAAACCTAGTTGTTGCTATTCTTACATCAGGAATAAAGGAAGCTTAGTGCTGCACTGCAGTGCAACATACCTGCTTCAGAACAATCTTCCAGGATGCCAGTGTGCCAAAAGAGAAACAGGAGTAGTTTGGGACATTAGTCAAAACTGACCCAAGAGACGGTCTTAGCTCTGCTAGTGAGGAGTTTAGGATGCTGCTATAGGAAAGGAAGCACCTGCTCACACTACACGATATATATAAAAATACACTTTTCTATAAAAGAGCCAGGGATAGAGACTTGTAATAAGCCAGGTCCTTCAAGAGAAGGTGTCAGATGTTGGAGCAAGCTACTCTAACAGATGCTCTGATGCAGATGAACTACTTTGTTCCAAAGCAAACCCTTTCTTCCAAGTCCAGCTGGCATTCAGTAGGTGATTCCCCTAAGTTTAGCTATCAGAACAACCAGCATTCAAAAAAAGGATTCCTTTCCTCCTTCACCCCTTTGTAGACATAAAAATGAACCTACAGAGCACTGGAACTTACACTATTATTTCCCCTCCTCCTTTTTAAATAAAAAAATTTCTTCTTCCATCTGATTCTGCACATCAGATGTACAGAGAGGCCTAATGGTCAGCCATCTCACCGTGCTGCTTGTCAGAAACTGACCATTGCTTTAGTTTTCACCAGAATCTGTATAAGGAGAACTCAAATCTCTCTTCCAGATGAACAATACCTTTCTGCGATTAAGAGAGAGCAGTATTTTTTAAACCTTTTTAAAGCAAACACATCATGGATCAAATTCAAAACACTTCTTAAGCCTTTAGCTGATGTGTTTCTTCAGGCATATCATACCTTAAGCAAGATCTTAAGCAAGCTATGCTGATCTGACAGTAAGCCCAATCTAAGGATAAAACTATGTTTAAGACAACAGAAAGTACTGCCACAAATGCCCCAATATTGTACTGCATCTATTGCTTTTATTGTTTCAGTATATCATACATCACCCTTTACAACTGGGGATGCACAGCAGCAACACTATATACACCTCATTTTTTCCCCCAAGAAATTGTGATCACATAATTTCAGACCTCTAATTATTATCCAAGTTAATGTTTTCTTTTAGGCTAAACAATACTAATACCAGATTCATAATATCAGCTCCCTTCTATTGTTCCAGGTTTCAGAGTTTCTTGGGGAATTATTATCAATCATGCCCCCACTCAGTCTCTGCCACCACAGTATATACCAACCAACTTTGATTACCACTTCATACACAGAGATTCCCAACAACTTATCTAGCTTTTAATAAACACATTCAAGTTTAAGCCTAATAAACATTTAGATAATATACAGAAATATTCTACTTACATCTTAAAGAGTTCTTCCTCATCCTCTTCCAGAGTTTTTATTTCTTGCTCAGGAAGGGAAACTATGGGCTCAAACTGAGGATCATGGTTAGAATCATCTGCATTTTCAGTAGAAGTATCATGCTCCTCATGTGTTTCCTGGAGAGAAAAAAAAAATAGAAAAAACACAAAACTTGCTATGTACTTAAAACGTGAAGTACTCATATCTGTGTTTAAAATGAAAACACTTATGACTATTCAGCAATTAGATCTTAGTAACTGAATACCCTGTAACAATAAAGAAAAAATATTATAGCTGAAAACAAATGGCTTTAAAGTCAGCATACAGTTACACCAAGAAAAAAAAAAGTGCTCTTGCAGTGCTAGATGTTTTAGTCCTACCACTCTTATTAGTTGTGCCGAGGCTCGGCCTTGGAGCAATAGCTCTCGGTTATGGAAAAATAATTTCTTCAACCATTTTTCCTATATAATGTGTTTTATGCTACTAAAGCACTACTATTTCTTAGTGGCTAATGACCTATCCTTAATGGGAAAAAAGAAAAAAACCACAACACCAAAGCAACCACCTACCCCAGCTTAAGGGACACATTACATCCAGAAGTTCATTATTCTAGTCTTATGCATGAGAATCACCCACAATCAAAGGTATTTTTGAAGCACAGTTGCAACACTCATGAAATAATATAAGTTTTTTGCTCTAAGACTCTTTGGGGAACTTTAGGTTATAGGTAAATGGCCAAAATATTACTTCCTATTTAGTTATTTAGGAATTTGTCAGAGCATTCATTAGCTTAAAAATTATTTTTAGTATGTGACTAGTAAATGATAAACATCTCTAATACTTCATGCACATGCACTGCTAAGAAGCATTCAGTAGAGAAGCCTAGAAGGGAGATTCATCTGCAAGTTTAATGAGGCCACAAACAGCTATCTCAGGTCAACGGAACTGATTTGGGGCTTTTTATTGTTGTTTGAATAACAGAGAAAGGAAAGACAGTCTATGCATCGAAGGCACCTAAATCTTATTTTCACTTTACAGATGAAAGAGTCCACTCCTACAGGCTCTATTTAGAATATCCTTTACAGAGCAGGTATACACCCCACAGGCATAAAGCAACTGAAATGAAGCAGTCTATTTTTACTAAAGGGGGGGGGAGGGGGGGAAGAAAAAAAAAAAAGAAAGAAAAAGGGACAAGGGGGAATTAGGTAACAAATGTTGCAAAATAAATTCTGGTTATGCCAACAACATCACACCAGCCATCACTAGTTTTATGTTTCCAGTGTTCCAGTACACAAGAAAAAAAGGGAGAGAGCCATTAAATCACATCTGTTTTCAAGAAACAGGAAAAGAAACATTGGCCAAACTTTTATATATTGTCTTCTTCAGCAGTAGCA